TATGCGTAATATGCAATATAATAACTAAAAGAATTATATCAATGATATTATTTAACTCCTAAAATCAGTATGTGATAGCGCAGTATTTCCCAACTTCTTTTACCCGCGGAACCTTTGCAGAAGCTTAAACGTTTTGTAGAACCCCAATATTTTTTCTATAATATTAATACAAACATATGTATTTTATACTTAAATGAGTGGGTTATCGGACACTTCCGGCACAAGAGTGTCATTAATAAAAAAAAAAACAAGACGGTTTTAACATTTTATTTTGTTTGTTATCTACTATGACAATATTATAAATGTACCTGCATATCAAAGCTTAAAATTCAATAATTGCCTCTCATTACTTCATAGATAGATTCAATGAGAAGATTAGAATTATTCCATAGTGTTTTTTCATAACTGTTTTTAAATCTGAAGTTATTCCTGAAAGTTGGATTTGTAAGTCCGGAGCCGCATTTACTTGATTTCGAAACTTAGTCTTTGTATACGCCGAAAAGCTACAAACTATGAACCTCACATCGGAAAATGTTTCAATTCCAGTTCTATGTTGAGTTCTATGTTCAAATCATAGTTCAAATCAAAATATTGCTAATTAATTTATATTTTCCCAAATTTCTCACGGAACCCTTCGCGCAAACTCACGGAACCCTTAGGTTCCGCGGAACACCAGTTGGGAAACACTGTGATAGCAAACAGTGGCGTACTATTATCCAAAACTGATTGTCATGGTTAGGTTAGTAGAATAATTAGGTATTAAATTAATAATCAAGGATTGCCTATACCTCCCATTCAATAGTTATTGACAACATTACTATTTTATGCAACACCAAACTTTCAAGTGAAATACCTAATTTTAATTTGTAAAAATTACTGTAAACATTTTTCCTCTTCAAAAATATTAGGAGCACGGACGCATTTATTATTTTTTTTTTTTTTAATTGCTCGTCATTACATAAAATATTTTTATTAAATTAGAAATCAATATTAAATAAACAAATTTGAAAATATTACTATTATTCGTTATCTTATCAATTTTCGGTTTGGTTATTTATAAGTTTTATTTTTGGTATTTTATATATTTGTAAAAATGTTATCTTTATAAAACAGTTTTCGTGATATCCATACCATAAAAATTGAGCACATAATCTATAAAAAACCATTAAAATCGTTCCTATTCACCCCAATCTAAGGTACATTATATTTGAGATACAATTTTATGTTTTTATAAATAAGTTCTATAAAGTATTAAACATACAAATAATACAATTATAATTATTTATTTAATTAGATTTCTATTATTATTCCATTAAACCTATTGATAGGTAACTTATAACCTATAGCAGCAGTTCCCAACCCTTTTAGTAGTGCGGAACACCAAATTTGTATAAAATCTTTGAGGACCATCAATAGTTTTATATGTGTAATGTGCACATACGTCAGTTATTACAATTAATTAATTAAAAAACAATTGTTTATAAAAAAAAAAACTTCATTGAACCGAATTATTCGAGAGTTAAACAATTTAATGTAGTTTTGTATTTACCTCCACGAAAGAATCAATACCTGGATTAAAAATGAAATGTTTTAGCCATAAATCACTCAAAATTTAATTTATTCCTATATCTATTTTTTAAAAAAATTAAAGTAGAAAAAGCTTGTTCACATAGATACACAGGTTGTCGAAATATAGCCCACCAAGTTTCTAAGTAAAATTTTAGAAATTGCTAGAAAGTCTTGCCGAATATTTAACTAGAATGGTAATAATGGTGTAGTTTTAAAAACGATTTTAGAGTCTGATTACATGAAAGTTCAATTAATGAATCTTCTTCACTTGCTGATACTTAATATTTTAAAAATATATGTAAGTAATGTTATTATAATATGGTTCACGGCCCAGTACCATCTGCTCGCGGCCCATGGGTTAGGAACCGCTGACATATAGGATAAGTAAATAAATTAATATTTTATTATCTTTAATGTTATTATTTAATTGGGTAAATTGAAACGTTTCATGTTTGTAGTTTATCGTCATGACATCATTATTCATTACCAATCCTTAAATGTTTTGTTTTGAAAAAATATTTTATTGGTAGTCTATCATCCATAAATATTAAATATTTAAATATATAGGTAACCATAATTTTTTTAAATATTATAAAGTCGGCAAATTTAAACAGTTATCCCACCCTTTCAAAAGTTGAAATGACGCCTCTGAACCAAACCTCAGTTAAAAACACCCTTAAACCATGCACTTTTTTTTTTATTGATTAGAACTTAACGAATATATTAACTTATTTACTGCAATATTTATTTAATAAACATATTTAAGCAATGGTTCTTAATTTATTTACATTTCAGAATCCCTGTAAAACAGCTGTGACTTGTGAGTAAATTTATTTTTAAGAAATCAGATATAGTTAAAAGTAATATCATATTGAGGTATACAGAAAATGAGACAACTTAACTATCTATATGAAAAAAAAAGGTGAAGGAGTGGATATATTCCCCATATCCCCCCCCCCGTAAATACGCCACTGACAACGGATATAAACAGAATAAATTGCAATATTGTTGAGGCATCAAATATAATTCCCTGACCGGTTATTTCAAGGAGCGTTTCAAAATAACTACACACGACTACGATGAATCAAAGGTTCTTACTTCGATAAAAATCGAAAAAAATCTAAAGCCGATTACACTCTTTACCCATCTTATAACTACGAGTCACTTGATGGTTTGTATCAGTGATAGGAATTATTCGAGTATTGTAATACGAATAGGCCCAACGTAAATAATTCGAATATTTGAATATTCGAGCATTCGAATATCAGTATTTTATGCTACAATACAATACGTAACGAAAATTATTTGTTTAATTTTCGTGCGATACAAAACTTTAATAATAATATGTATTGTAGCATATTGCTGGTATTCGAATGATTGAATATTCAAATATTTGAATTATTTACGGTGGTCCTATTCGAATAATTCAATTATTTGAGTATACATTACATCTCTAGTTTGTATTACAAAATTATAATTTTATATTTTATTATTATATATTTATATCTATGAGTATTATATAATATTTATCCTGATAATAATGAATGTTGATACAATATATTGTACCAATAGTTGTATACAAAATAGTTATTTTACTTTATTATACACGATATTAATTTACGAATAAAATAGATTTGTTGGTTTTAATAATTTTTTTATGGTCATATTTGTATATCTCATCAGTTAATTTTTAATAGTATTATAAACGTATACATAATGGGTAATGTATAATTAATTGCTAATTAGGAAAATGTTTTTTAAATGTCTTCCAAGCTTCTTCATGACTAGGTCAAATCTAAGATGTTGTAATCTATATATTTTTTATTTGCATCAAACAATTGCACTGATATATAATGTGTTTATCAATTCAATCAAACTAATTGACGGTAGTAACATATGAATGTAAATATTAGATGTTTATAGATATACCAACTCTAAATAATAAGTAACATTATCAACATTTTGTCTCAAACTATATAATATAACGTGTTATGTATCAGTGCACTTCGTACATAAATTTGTTTTAGGCACCAATTACTTGCAAACAAGATTTACGCACAATTTAATATAAAAATAAAAGCACTTACGATTTCCTTCTTTCATTGAACATCTAATTATAATTCCATTTGATTTTAAATATAAGGTATGTGTCCGACGGTTTATAATCAGATTTAATATTTTATTATGATTCTTATAGTGTTATGTGCTTATTAAACATGAACAATATAAAGTCACAACATATTGTTAATTTTAATATTAATTGATGGTGGTTACCGGTAAAGATACACGGTATAACCTGTTAATATTTATTACAAAATGTAAAATTGCAATTAAATTACCTGACAATTTCGGAATGTTTGATTTCAATAAACGTATCATGTTGAGACCGAGGACATTAATATTTTATTGTAACTAGATAATGACAAAATATGAATTTGCTAATTTATTCCTCAGTACTAATGGCGTCGAAATACTTTTTAGTAGGTAGTGCAAACACAAATCCTAACCACTAACCCATCCATTCCTACCAAGACAAGCTCAAAAATATTATTTTTTTTTAGATCCAAGGTCAAAATATCTGTGCTATTTGTTTCTACAGTTATTTGGCCATCAATGATCAACATATTATCAAATTCATACTTAGTACCTATTACCTATTGGCTACTAAGAGCCAGTTTTTCAAAATGATATATACCTACTCTGGTCACCTATACCCATCCTCTAATTTTATATGGTGCAAATGCACCACCTTAAGTTCGTATTCGGCGCCATTATTCAATATCAATATTAAATGTATATGAATAAAAGGAATTAAGTGAATTATATAACTTTATACTAATATACATACATATACATATATGTATATAAATATACATATATTTATATAAAGTAATACTATCTAAACGTTGAAGTCTAAATTCCATTGTAACAGTTATGATATTACAGTTTGCCATTATGCAGATGTAAAAAATAATTAGTCAAACCATCACAAAAATAAGTGCATGCATGCATTGTTAAGCAAAAAATAAAGCATTGAAACATGTAAAACGATAAACAGATGGTATAAATTATTTATTTGGTAATGATTTTTTGATATATGAATTCGTATAGTTAAATCATATTATTGTCGTTTGTCTTGAACCTGCGAACATACGTAACATCCAAGTTTGTTAGAATAATTAATAACAAGCTTTAAAGATACAAAAACATTAATAACGGAAACATCATAACCAATGATGACTACACCTAAAACTAATTTTTTATAATGTTGCATGATAAACCATGAACGTAATAAATCGTTTTCATAAATGAAAAATACAATCAAACAGAAAAATCATCGTTTAAAATGTAATACAGCAATATTATTTTATATCCAATATCTGATACACACACACACACACAATAAAAATATTAATACTAATAGACAATAATAAAACAATGGAAAAAAATAATATTACTCATGTCCATACAAAACAATAATGATATTATCTTATACAATTTTGTCAAAAGATCCATTGTTGTACAGTCTCATCATTGAATCGAACGATTATTTGTATCAAATGTTCGCCAATTAAAAAAAACAATCATAGTAATAATTATATAATAGTTAATAATAATAATAATAATATATAGTAATAAAGAGCTTTTTCGACTTCATATCTAAGGATCGTACTGGGTTTGTACCTTTTGAGGTTGATAGCCCCAGACGAATTTGTTGAAATATTCACCGACCAAGTACAAGAAAGATGTGTAGACAAATGTACCCAGGAAGAATAGACATCTCAATGGTAGGTTAAGCTGAGTAAGGATCGGATAGACCCACATATGGCACTGGCTATACACAATATGAATCCTGTAAAATAAGTAAAATATTGTCATGAAATATTTATTGAAACGAAAAACAAACGATAATCGTAAATTAAATTAAAACTGCTCCTGATAAGTATATTTATGTTGAATCAATATATTTTTCTTAAATAACAAGTGAATCAGTATTACAATCAAGCATGTAATTTAGAGAGGCATAAAAGAAATCGCTCTTCCCCTCCAAAGGCCGTATTATAGTAACCATGAATTAAGATAAACGGTATATAACACTTTATTGCAAATTATTTAAACCGCAATCATTTTGAAGAAGGTTAATTACAATGGTAAATCGTCCCCTCCCCAAATAAGCACTTATTTACGTGCCTGACTTCAATGGCATTGTATACGTTGCATAATGTTCTGTTTATACAATTAGTTAAAATATGATAACAACTCATACAACAATACATTATACATAGTATAAACTAGGGCTCTCGGTTTGGTACGTGTATTGATATACACGTGTACACGTAATCCGAACATTAAATAATAATATGTAGGAATACCCGTGTATTTAATTACACGTGTTTTTAAAGTTCGTGTACACGTGTATTAAAAGTTCATATACCCGTGTATTATATTGTAAATATAATGTGTAAATATTCAAAATTTAAAAAAACTAATTATAAGTACTTATTTATATTTTTTCATTAATAAAGGGTTGTTTATAGTCATGAATTTGATAAATATATATATATAGTAATGATTTTTAGAAAAATCAATTACGAAATTTATAATTTATATTATTATGTATGAATCTAATTTGTATATTTATTAAAAGAATTGACTGGGTCGTATTTATAAGCTATTTTTATAGTGTTTTTACTGTAAAATATATTATAATACAATCGTATAAATAAAAATCATAATTTGATAATAGTTATTCATTTATTATAATAAAAAAAGTTTCATATTTAAAAATTAAATTAAATTAGTGTTTACTTTATGTAAATAACACATTTGGGGCATTTCAAAACATTATACGATGACATGACCAAAAGAGTTTTGGCATGTATTACACTTGGTTTTCAATTTAAGCAGTATTAAAATAACTTCGGGTTATATAAGGGTACGAAGTGATGTTAAAAACCTGAACTTTCGGTATGTTATATTTCATAAAAGGTATATGTAGTTTATTAAATTTATTTTCTAGCACGGGTCAGAAATATAAACGTTTTACCGGTTATACATACTATCCTTTGGGACGTTCGTCAACTTGAAAGATAATTTGTTCAGCCACTGGAGAAATGAATCACAATATATATAATATAATATTTAAAATATGTAATGTTTTACATAGTATTGATTACTAAATACTACATTTGAAAACGTTTTAATTGTCAATAACGGTAAACGGAAAATTTTTTAAACGTTTAAATTTGTATAACGTTTAAAACGCTTAAATTGAATAACGTTTAAATTATTTATAGCGTTAAACGCTCAATTGTTTATAATGTTTAAATGTCCCATAACGGTAAACAATATATATTATTTTGATTTAAGCCCTGGTCCATACTTAGTGAAAAAATAAATTAAACATAAGCGAAACTTTCAAAACACAGATAGGTGTTAAAAAAGAACTACACAAAAGTCCATTCTAAGTGGACCGGCATTAGATTAAAAAAAAAAAAAAAAAACCACAAATATTAAGAATTCACCTAATTTAAATATTACCAAAAATTTTATTTGTAAATTTTGAACCTGAATTAAAGAAAAATTTAAGTCACCCCCCCTCCCCCCCGAGAAATAAGTCTAAATACGCTCCTGTTAGTAACCAACAAACAACAAATAGGAATTACGTCTCTAAAATGATTAATAATTTTAATATTTTAATAGAACTAGAGATTATATAAGTTTCTAGAATGTTGTTTTAAGTACTTGTATTTATTTGTATATTTCTACTTTGTTTCATAAAATGATGGTACTTTGATAACTAATATCACACATCAAAATGTTATAAAAAAATTATTATGAAAAAAAAACAATAAAATTAAATGTAAACAAATAACAAATTATGTTACTTAACGGAAAATAGTCATTCTTTGATTCTAACAACGTACTCTACATGGTTTTAATAATTATGAATACTGATATTAATTATTTATAAAACGGAATAACTATTAGTATCGTATAACTCATAACAGTTAATGTGTAGTTTAATATTGGTACAACACCATAACAATACAATACAACAGTATAATAACGACTAAATTTTAAAATATTAACAACCATTTATGGCTACAATTTGAGTTTACAAGAAAACGTAGCGTGTAAACAATATTCACTATTTCGATAAATTGGTACAATAAAAACGACGATAAATTGTCAATTACATTGTAACGATTTATTGTTACGTGTAAACCCGGCTTAAGATATCATTGCATAATATATTTGTAGATTATACGTATCACGAATTAAGTTGTGGTTTATATATTATTTTAACATTGATTTAACTTTTAAGTATACTGGCTTAAATAAACAAAAAGACTACATTTTTGTACGAAATACCACAAAATAAATTAAACTAATAATATTTTTAAATATTATGCCAGTATTAGTATTTAATTATTATTAATTAAACTTACCATATTAAATAAGATAATTGCAAGCATAAGTGTGTGATCATTCCTAAAACGCGGGATGGATATGGTCGGTAAGCTGTGATCATTTCTAAGCAGGCAAAGACAAACACGAATGTATGCATAGTGTGGTTCAGCCAATTTGGGAAATACTGGTCAAGGTCTTTAGGCATAACCAAACTTCGGTCGATAAACCATAAGCTCCAGAATGTCGTAGAGACGAACTGAAAACAAAGTAATAATTTTATACTGTTTTTTATTAACATATTTTTTTTTAAAAAAAAAAAAACTATTGTAATAAAAAAAGTATACATCAATAGTTAGACTTATAGAAGTTGAAGACTACATCTAAATACAAATTAAATAATAATATTCTGTATATTTTCTATTCATGTTTTATAAAATAAATATAAATAAATATAAAAACTTAAGTACAGTAGCACTCTGCTTCATAAATTGAATATGTAAGTTTATAGTGTACACATATTTCAGATTTTATTAAAATTAACTATTTATTTGGTCTTATTCGAAAGATAAATTAATCTGTTTTCATTTTTTACAATTATGTTTTATTTTCCACATTTCCTAGTTTATGATATTGCGTACTTTTTTTTACACAATTGTTCATTATCTATGTAGCAGTTTTACGTAGTTATTGAAGTCAAAGCGGGTTATAGAACAATTTATGAACTGAGGTTTTGCTTTAAAAATAATTTTCTTTTATCATAAAATTATATTGTATAAAAAATGAAATTGCATTATAATTGATTTGCGAGTAACGCACCTCGCGACCGTGTCGGGTTTATTGAGCGGTATAAGTTCAATCAATTTGGAATACGGTCGGTCGGGCGGATTAATATCACCCATATAATTACGATATTGTAATTGTATTCATGTTCGTTGACCACGAAAAAATAAACATTAAACATATAATTTCAACGATATCGTACAATAGTGTTTGTAAAATTGTAAGGGGCTTGTTAAAAATAAAATAAATTTGCAATCCATAATTTAATGTTTTAAATTTCACACAGCGAGTTGATGATTAATTATAAAATATGGTAAAAACTTTAGAAGAAATTAAATAAATTAAGGAATTAGACTATACTGAATAATGTACTCGTAATTCATTAATAGAAATTCATGCATAGATTAACTCTAATATATTTATTTTAAAATGTTTTTGCAAATGTGTTCAAGTTAAAATGTTTAAAATAATTTGCCATGATAAAACGTAATAAAAAATGTACAATCTAACTCATCCAAACATCCGGTCAACCAAAACCAGAAATCCCCGCAAGAATATATTATTCTTTAAATTACAACGATTACTGATATTACATAAGTCAAAATTCTATTGATAATATAGCTTTATAGAATATTTACATATTTAAAATAAATTTGTCTTGACAACAACATTTTACATCATTGGCAAAGAAACAAAATAAAATACTAATAATATCTGTTATCCTTAGTTTATTTTTAAATTTGACATAAATAATAATATAATATGCACACATATTTTCATAACATAGGTTTAGATTTTCAAACATAACATTTACAGATCGGAGAAGCCAAATTTACCAATGGTTCTTTTATTTTTCTACATTTATTTTTCAACTTAATAACTTCAAGAGTTAGGAACGCTTCCAAAATAAAGTATTATTTATATGTATAATATAAACAGGTTGCACATTTTGTTTGTGTGTCGTACACAAATTATGTCGTAACTGATATATATGATGATTAATTTGCTAAAAAGTTTTATAATTTCTTTGATTGGTAATTATTTATGAAATATAAAATATTTTAATTAAGATAATTATATTAGAAAACCATTCTTATAATTCGAAAAAGCACAACCATTAAAAATGATTAGAATGTTTTGAGAGCCAAAACGGATAATACATGTGTTCTAGGGGGAAGAGGTATAGTATAGCGGTAGAAAACTATCATAGTTTATTTTTTATATTTTAAATGTGTTTTATACATCTCACAACAACTTATCTTTATATACATACACATGGTATTTTCTATACTATAAGAAAATTTTGAAAACGCCTCTGCAATATCCTATGACATATAAGTAATACGGAATCTTGTCAACTTGTACAGATATATAATTTATATAGTAATTCCTACACTGATCTAATCCAAATTGAATACCTAATATAATGTTTATATTAACTGTGAACCAAAGTAGAATTACGTTTTGTTCAAGTTGAGTGTTATCGGTTTAAATATATAAAAATCAATATTTGCCAATTATTATTCAGAAAACTAAAATGTTTAATTTCGTAAACTTACAAATTATTAATATGATTTAATTCATATTCTTACCATTATTTAGAAATAATAACTTTTCGAATTGGTTAAAATATTATCTTAAACTCAGAACTAAATTTTCATAACATTTATATTATATAGTTCAGCCATTAATTAATTCGTTATTCGAATGCAATTATGTATATTTATTATTTAATAATTTTATTTTGATATTTATAAACGTTAAAATAAGACAGTAAGTAAGAATGTTTTTTAAATTCTCCTAAATTATTATAAAGTATTTATACAATATGACGGTACTAGGTCATGTATCAAATCATTTAAATTATTTATTAAATTTAACGTAAAATAATAATTATGAACCATATCAAAATATGAATAAGCAATAAATCTATGTAATTATATTTAATTTAAAACAAATAAGATACAATTAAACAATACGCATATTAGTATAAATATTTTACTAATGAACTTTTGGCTTTTTGATATTATAAACCGATGTTAATATATTTAACACCTGATGTATATTATTATTACATCGTTTATATTTATAAGGCCATACTCATGAGGTCAATTATGAAATCGTTAAAATAATCATACATAAGTATATTGTATGATTATTTATTTTTAATACGTTGCATTATTTTTGTCGACGTATTTAATTAAAATAAACATTTTCGAAATTGTTGCTAAAACTTGCTCAGCTTTAAGCACAAATAAAATCTTACATTTTCATAATTTAAAAATATTTATTCAAGTTAAAAAGAAATAATAAAAAAAGGGACTAAGGTTTTATTTATAGTGTTTCAAATTAATTAATTTAATAATTTACTAAAATTTAAAAAATTTTAATTTGAAAGTATCACATTTTTATTTCAAGATAGTATTTCTAACTTATCGGCTATTATTTTGAAATACATTTTTTAAAGAGATAAATTTTCTGAACATTTTTATAATTTTAAAAAAATGTATAACATAAAATATTGGTAACAACTTAACTAACTATTAAATATGAATAATTTAAAAAAAATAATATATACTTCTAAAGTATTGAAAATTAATATTAACTATGTAACATATTTTAAAAATTTCTTACCATACTTAATGGAAAAGCAATACTGGCGAAGAAAAAGTTTTTCACTTGAACTAATGTTTCCAAGATTGACGATTGAGATGGGAGAACCAATGGAAAAACATCCACGACCAAAGCAAATACAAAATACAATGCTTGAAAACACTATAAAAATAAAATTAATATAAATTAATATGAAAAATAATTTAAATATTAAAAATAATATTTATATTTAATAATATGCTAAAATTGTATTTTTTAGAGATGGGAATATAATCAAAATTATGTCGTTATACGCGGTAAAGTATGACAATAACCTAAATGTAATGAGTAATGGCTAATGACTATTTCCGAATCATTTTATTTTAACAACCTTGACTCTAATCCATACATTTCTTTCGGGCGGATTGTTAATAAAAATATGTTGTTATTTAGTTTAGTAGAATGGTGATTTGAGACTATACCATTACCAATTGGTAGTGAGAAAAAAAAACAAATATAGTATTTATTATTACTATTGTACATATTTATTTATTCTGTTACATAGCTTAACATATATACTGAATTACCTAAAAAGTATATTATTCTATGAATAAAAAAAGGACACGATTCAACTGTAACGAAAGCGATCATTTTAACACAACCATATTCTATAAAATATCTCTACGGTATGTATGTATTTTTTTATGTATGTTATTTTGTAATTCTATTATTTCATTATTCTAACATTATTTTTTCAACAATCAGTATGTACGTACACTGGTGTGTTTATATGTCTGTGTGTAATTCACAATTATTGACCAACTAAATAAAAAAAATTTATATTAACTGTTTCCATTAGGTAATTAACTATAGTTAGCGATTCAGTATTCAACAAATATCAGATCCATTTAAATTCAAGTCCAATTGCAATTTAACACATGATGGCATCTAGACGTAATACAAAATCAATAATTATTGATTACTGTATTACCTACCTGTATTATCAAAGTTTGAAAATCCACAATACTTAGACAGTACCCTTAATATTTTTCTAACGTTTCAACATAATAGATTTTGTTGTAAATTAAAAACAATGTAGTATTTATATCTATACATAAAACCAAGTATTATAATGCTAATTTTTAGACATATATTTTTGAAGTTAAAAGTATAATTTTAAATTCTTTAAAATCAAATGATATAAATACAATTAATTGATTTCCACGAACATATTAAAATATATATAGACATTTTACTATGATTAGTTTAAATTGTACTATGCCCCCATAAAAAATTCCGGTCAAGTCTAGACTCGCCCGGCTCACCCCGTGCGCACACCTACACAGTGTACACAACACGATAGTGTAATATAAGTCATTCTTGCATGGATTTTTTTTTAATATTAATAAATTTACCATTCAACCGCTTTTGCTTAAAATGTATCAATTATAATATTTATAATCAAGAATTGATGTTAAACAAACATTTGTTGAGTAGTGAGTACTAAAATTAAATTAGGAAAAAATATAATAACATAACTTATAGTTATAGTTAATATAATAATAATAATAATAATTTTATTTATATACTTATACTTTATATTTTATACTTATATATAAATATAGTTAATAATAAGTAATAATTAGGTACCTAGTCATTAATATATATTTACGAATATACTTACTATTGTTAAATTGACCAGCTAAAGATAGGTATTATAAAATTCCAAAGTATAATAAATCATTATAATACAATTTATTGTATTCTTCTTATCCACGTGAATAAAATAACAATATGTAAGTTAATTTAAACAACAATTCTTTTTACTAATATCGTATTAAAACAGTTAAAGTTAAAAGTTAAATAAAGTAAAATGTAATATTTTAAAATTTTACAGTAACCGACTATACAATAAACAAATTGTATTCAAATAAATTAAAATAGTTGGATAATTTACCCTAAGAAATGAATACAATTTTAAAAATCATAATTTATGACATTCATAATATGTTTTAAACATATGTGTTTACTTAAATTATGCGGTTTAGTTTATGTTATTATAAATAATTTAAGAACAAATTTGTGTTGTTCTATATTTTATATAAGAAATCAACCATGAACCACAGTGAGGTAATTTTGAAAGCAATTCAATGTGTTACCTTTTTAATAATAATGTAAACTGCTATATACTGGTTATACAACATGTATTTAGGTATTCGTAATGAATAAAAAACAATAAATTATAACTACTAAAAATAATAAAGTAGCTTACGTTATTTGAAAATAGTTTTAATGTAAAAAATATTCAAGAAATTAAAGAGTTTTTATGGTGAATATAAATGAATTCCTAAAAATTGCTGAAAAACTATTAAATAATATACCCTTAAGGGGGAACCCTTAACTAACACTTCTAAATAACGAACAATTTTTTGGGAACAGGAACTTTTTCTCTGCTTTTCTATAGAAAAATCTTTAAATACGGAACACTTTAAATAACGAATATTTTTATAAAAATTTTAATTTTTATTGTAAGTTAAGAATAATTATGTAATACCTAAATAAAAGCTCCACATCAAGTTTTACATAGATTATTATACAGTACAACAGAGCTGGCCAAACTTTTTTCGGTCACAATCTACTAAAAATTTACTTCACCTTTGAAGATCGACTTTCTTGGAAAAAAATTTTTATTATTAAATAATTATAATTATTAAGAAACATACTTACTAAAAGTGTATATAAATATACATAAAGTATTATAAACTAATTACTAATTACTAAAAATAATATAATAATTTCTAAAATCTAAATACTTAAGTCTAATGAACATATTAATATTTATTTTGTTGATCTGGGCATTGTTGAAGTGCACGTGACCTAAAAAAAAATTCTAACATGATTGACTGAAATCATCCGTGATCGACCATTTGGCGGCTGCCCCTGCAGTACAGTATATCTTTATCTCGTTGAAATATCTCGTTGAAGAAATGTTGTGATTAATGCATTGTCTAGTACCTATTTAGTTGTGTTGTGATGCCAATACGAACGTATTTTTTTCATAAATGTTAATTTTTAAGATGTTTATAATAGATTAACGTAAAAAAATTATTTTAATTTAATTTATAGTTCTACTTTAATAAAAATAAAATTTCTCCCACTAAATAGCGGTCAAAATTGCAACAACCATCAATGTCCGGTATTTAGAAGTTTTACTCTATGTATATTAGGAAAATCAGTAAGTACAAATCACAGATATATATACTATTTACTATTTACTATTTAAATAATATATATATATATATATATATATCCGTGGTACAAGTATATCATTTATGAAAAATAATGATTAAAATAATGAGAAAGCTGTCCTCAATCATAATTATAAAAATTGTAAAAATGTTGAAATCGTTATCTTATGGTTAGATTTTATTGTAACAAGTAAAAATATAAAATATTATTTTATAATTTTCTTAAAATAAAGTTTATGAAAAGTTATATTTATTTTGTTACAATACAAGTTAATTTTCAAAATAAATATATTTAATTAACACTTGACGGACGACCTGGGAACCAATTCGTATACGAAATTGTAAATAATTTACTAAATAGTGAATAAAACATATGTTACTAAAAAAAAGAATTTACATTAAATATCTTAATAAATTCAAATAGAATAAAATAATTTTTATAGGGATATTTTAATTACTGAATTGAACTATCTAAGAAAATATTCCCATTATTGAATACGTGTTTAATTGTTGACAGCCCACTACTCATTATGTGCATAATCTACGAACGATAAAACCACAAGTTTATATTATCTATATTAATCTAAAATGTATAATATAAAAATTATTGTGATCATAAACTTGACCCCAAACCATAAATGAAGGGTTTATTGCACAACACTGTATAATAAGTCAAGTCCGTTCGAACACCGTATAATACTGAAAAAATGTATCTATAACTAACGAATCATATTGGACCTTGAAATAAATTATTATGAACCGTATAAATATTTATATTACCGTTTTTTCTGCATAAGTGTAAAATATTTGAAACTTATAAGCTTATCAACGGTTCTATATTGTCAATAATTGACAATAATTATTATTATCCTAAACAACAGTGATTAGATAGGTTTTTTAATTTTTTATTTTGAGACATATTCAATATATTCAATACATATTATTTTAACTATTTTTTATTGTTAATTAATATTATGTTCAGAATAATTATTTTAATCAAAATTTATTAAGTGTAAATAATTTTTCCTTAACTAACCAATACTCGAAATGAAAAATATTACGAACTGAAACGCTCATAAAATTAATATGCGAATAACAATATTAATATTTAATTTTAATTATTTGATTTGTGTTTACTTTACAATAAAATATAATTAGTTAAATAGATAATAAATAATACAAACAATTTTAAGCTTAAAACAATTTAATTATACAATTAAAATTTAACAATTCGTAATAATTTTTACAATAATGTGTATTTATTGTAATTTTTTCACGTTTGCAATTTGCAGTGTCACAAGCAGAATGTCTACCTTTGACTTATCATGAGCGTACATATTTTTTAGGACGGAATTAAGTGAGTGAAGTGCTAGCACAATTGACAAATAAAAATGCAGAGATTTTACTAATATTTAATGAATATCTGAGGTGTAGTTTAATCAATTGAGCTGAAATTTAGCTTGTAACTCACTTGTAGGAATAGGAATAGTAGTGTAATAATATGCAGAATCATACTGCATGATCAATAGTATTTAAAATTACATCAAAATTACATTTAAATTATTAATTTTAACTTGTATTTAATAGAAAATCTGAAAATCAATATTAGGCATTAAAGATTAAAATTTTTGATATTTAAATAGCATCTAGTATGATTATAATTCGTAGTTTAATTTAATCACGCCGGCTAGTTAATAAGGAATATTTTGTTATTCAAACTCAAAGTTTAAATTACAATTTAAGTTTCTTGTAATTTCCAAAAAAGTTTAATCTCCGAATTAGTTTGGATATGTATCAACTTTCAAGCATACTCCTATGCCATAACCACTCTATGTAATATGTATTAAACCTGCGGTAAGCTTTAATTTTTTGGAATTTTGAAGACTGGAATTATGTATAAAAATGTCAAACCAAAATGAAATTATATATGTGTAATTCAAAGCAAAATTTAAATCAGAGGCTAAAAATGGCTTAAAAATGTACCAGAAAAGTACAAGAATATAAAAAAAGGGCGCAAACGAATCACAGTTTATCACGTAAAAAATACATAACATATTGTAAATAGATTTTTCCAATTATTTAAAGTAACCATAAATTAATTTACATACATTTTTGTATGTATTATTATATTATATTTTGAATTATTCAAAAATGAATAAAAAGATTATAAATACGTTGTAACTTGTAGTTTAACATTAAATTATTCTTATTTTTTTTTTTTTTATGATTTTAAAACTGTATTTACAAGATTTTTACGTAACTACAAAACCATACTTTATCGATTCCAGAAATAGTTTCCTGAAGGTTACATTTGTCTTAAAATAATACTTAATTTATTTTAGAATAATCTTTTGAACTATTATAATCATTCAAACAAAATAATGTTCGTACGTTTTTTAGGAACATGATTTTTAACACTTAGAGCCCATACGCATTTTTCAGAATATTTTTTTAGTTTTTTTATGGCATTAAGTAGCTAATTCGTTACCCATTATGAATTCAATGCCCATGAATTTGTTTCCTTTGAAACTCCATTAAGCCTTAGTTCAGCATCAAGCTTCATACATATTTTTAAGAAGGTTCTTTGAGTTTTTTTAATCAAATATAAAACACAAGGGGAACCCGACGTGTTCTACTATATTATACTAAAAAAAAAAAAAAATTATATTTATTTGTTGAAAAAAAAGGATATTTTGATTATTTATTAACTTTTTTATTATAATGCTAGCGAATAAAAACTATTTTGAATCTTTTGGTGTGTAAAGATTTAAAGGCATTCCAACTCTAGAGCAAGCAACATATTGGCTGTGCGAGAAACAAGAATTTAGTATGTTTAATCCAGCTTCTAATGAGAATGACAGATCAGTGTTTTTGTGTTGACAAACTGTATTATGCGCCAAATTCACACCAATGTAGTCAAAATATAATAAATGTGATGCGCAATTGCACAAATTATGTTTTTATTTGCGAGTCATCCTTTGGTGAAGTTGGTTAATAAGAATCAATTTCAAAGGAATTGGTATTCCTGAACAATCGTTTTTGCTCTTATTGACGTAAGTAACGAAGTTGTTACTTATATATTTATATGTTTATCATTTTTTGGTATCAATTGAAAATATGCATACTTTGAAATAGAAATTTTCAATATTTTATATTTCGAGAACATTTTTGAATGTGAAAAGTTGAAAATGAACTTCATGAATGAACCGAATGTGTCTAATGCATTGTTTTCGTGGTCTAAGACCATCTTTGCACTATTACCTAGAGTTCAGAAAACCTACTGTCACCCAAGTGAAGAGTAATTTTGAATTATTCATGTGTTACAATGTAATATTAAATAATAATAGTAAAATTATTTGCAATCATCGAACTAAAAAACAAAAAAAATCAAATTGTCAAGAATAGCTCGAATGAAAAAAAGTTGTGAATCGCTTGCCTAGGTGACATTTTATTTCTCTCCTGAGAGTGATTAGTGTCGATTTGAAGCATAATTTATAATAAGGTTCGTAAATATCACCGCTTTAGCGTGCGCAAGTAAACGCGCGCTCAGGACGTGTAATTCATATATATCATTCTATTTCAGTTGCTTACCCCGTCCAAAAAAGTGAGGTACTTGAACTTGCCGCCGAACGCATCGTCGATGGGATTCACGTTCGTGGGCACGTTGACATGGAAATAATTATAGTACACGGACGAGACGAACATGATGGTGCCGGCCACGTGCACGGCGACGTTGGCCACCGGTAAATACGACGCCAGACTCATGGCGAGAGCGGTTGGACCGGCGATACAGGAGGGTTGGTTGGGGCGGGTAACTAACGTGCGAAACCGTAATGCAAACAGAGGGCTCAGTCAGAAATCGGGGAGGACGACGGAACGCGCGAAAATATGTGCGACGGGCGGGAAGAAAAAACGACACGCGCACGGACAACGGACGAACCATAAACACGCGACGGACGGCGTAGGATCACTGAACACACGAGCAGTGAGCGATGTCGGTCGTCATGAACATATAATACACTTTTGCGTGTGCGCGTTTGTGCGTACATGCGAGAGTGAGTGTGTGTGTGTGTCCGTCGCCGTCACACAGTCGTTGTCTCTGGCGCTGCCGCCGTCATCCGAGGGGGTCACGTATGTTACTGTGCGCGCGTGCGCATTCATGCTCGATAAAGCAGATCGGATATAATGACGAGTATCCGCTACCGCCACCAACGCCGCTACAACACCGCCACCAACGCCGCTACAACACCGCCACCGATCACTTTGACGTCATACCGGTTTTCCCAATCCCTTCCATACTTATATAAATATATAAACTATATAAACGTGCTATCAGTACCGTTGGCATAAACACTGCCCGGTGCCAAGAATCTTTTTTAGCGTCCTCATTCCTTCCACCAAATATTTTTATATCTACAGTGGGACTGCCATTTATTTGAGATTAAAAATCGGGATATTTAATTTTAGGCACCCCTCCAAACACTTGAGCTTTGTATGTACCTATTAGCTATTTCGATATTCATTATTAATTGTTTACAGTAATTAAATCTAAGAAAAATGAACCTTCCCAGCTCTCTGCTTACTCAATATTTTAAATATAACAAAGATTATAATATGGTAAGATTATTAAGATAATAATAAGATTACAGTTCTTTTATTTGAGTTAAATATTTCGTTTATAATTTTAAGCCATTGTGTGTGTACACAACCATAATATTTGTAAATTAATATTTTAATAAATATCTAATGTTTAAAGTGTCTAATTTATATTATTAATTAAATAAAAATTTCAATAAATCACTTTTATGGTAAATTGGTTAAATAATTATTATATAGTCTTCCAGTGTGATATATATATAATGTAATAGTATAATGTAAAATTGTAAACCCCTTCCTATATCGTGGGTCATTCCTATTTATGAATAGATTGATAAATTAAAATGTTGTCACACCCTTAAGAATTTTCCTATGGGTGCCCTTGTTAGAACAGGCAATGCAAATGCAAATTTCACTAATTTCAATCATGTAGAATAATCGGTGCTTGTTTCTTTATATGATTAGATATTCATTTTTCTTCAAAAGTTAAACTGTGCCATTCTACAGATTTTTCTTTAACAAATTTTTAAAATAATTTAACATAAATTGTTCAAACAGTTCTTCATTTAAAACATTATTTTACAATAAAATTATTTGACAGTTTTAAATTTGACCAGCTTATTTAATTTGTTTGTAACATAAAAATCCATGATAAAGTATTTAATTCAGATATGTGCTGATATGAAGCAGTCCATACCTTTAAATAATTTATACACAACTTATAAAATGAAGTACAAATATCTGTAAAATTTTTTCTTGTGATTACTCCATTATCTAAAATTTCTTCCATATCACTTGTCAAAAATAAACCAGCTCTTTTATTTTTTAACTTTTCAATTAACTGATTCATAACTGATATTAGTTCCAAAGCACACAATTTTTGTTCTTCAATTTTTTAAATGTATATATTAATAGTTTTTAATTGAATTTGAAAGAATTTTAGCCAATAACTAAGATGTTTCATTTTCAAAAAATATTTTTAAAATCTTAGGATAGTTGTTTTGCGATAAAAAATAAGATTTGAGTGCGTAGAATATAGCTATTATTCTATCAATCGCTGATTGCAAAAACAACCACCTAGTTTTTGAATGTGATAATATCTTTGCATATTGAATATCAACAAAATCACAAAATTCTTTTAAGGTTTCGACATTTATGGTATAAATATGGAAAAGTCCGAATATTTTGCAAACAACTGAGTCCAGGCCCGTATTTAAAAATTTGGCACCCCAGGGCATATAATTTATGCCCACCCCCAAAATTAAATAATAATAATAATATAACACTTATTATATTTTCCATAATCGAAATTCTTTAATATTAAAATATAACTTATAAATGAAAATCGTTTAATACCTTTTTTAATTATCAAATTAAACAAATTATAACATAATAAAACATTCAATTTCCTTTTTTTTTTTAAATTAAAAAATTATAATATAATAAAAATACAATTTTATTTTTTTGATTGTTTTATTTTTTTTTTATAAGTACATAATTTTTAAAATTAATTTTGCTAAAATATTTTTCCACCCCTGAGACTTAACGCCCCCGGACACGTGCCTACCCGTGCCCCCCTAAATATTGGTCTAACTGAGTCAATATTAATTGGAAGACTTTGTGCTGCATATTGAATACTATTATATACTATGTGAGGAGCACATAATCCTAATTCTAAAATTTCATGATTTAATGCAGTGGTGTATCCAGGATTCATTTAACGGAGGGATTTTAAAATTTAATAGACATATGGTAAGTGGGAGGTTCTGCTCCCCTCCTATATTACATAAATAAATACCGTGTATTTATATAAATTATTATACTAATGAAAATGATTATATTAAGACAGTGTAAGTAAAATCGACAAGTTGTATACAAAATTTATTCAAATCATACTGCAAGTTTGTAATTTAATGAAATACCATAGAATATAGTCGATAAGGGGGGGGGTGTTCTAACACCCATATCACCCCCCCCTAAATACGCCCCTGATTTAATGTATTTTTTAGTTTAACAAAAACTTTGCTTTCCCCTTTTCTTTCAATACCCCCAAAATTAGTATTTGTATTGTCTCCTGAATAGCTAATTATTTTTTCTTTGATTCCAAATGTTTCCAAAACGCTTAATATTTTATTATGAATAAAATCTGTTGTTTCTCCTGGCAAACTAAAAAATCTAAAATCATTTTCTGAACTAAATTACTTAGTAACGGCTGACACTAATTTTAAAATATAGTTAGGGTTGCCATAAATTTATAAGGCGAAACCGGGACAAAACAAAACACATTATTAAGTATGTAATATATTTTTTATATAGTTTAATATACTTAGTGAACCATTAATGGCCAGCAATTTAATATTTTAAAATATTTATGTGAAATAAAATATATGATATATCCCGTGATATATTTAGGTATATGTGTAAATTACATATAATTTTTTTGTTAATCGATTACAATAAATTGTACTTAGATAAAATCGTGGAAATTAAAAATTAAATAATTCTACAATTCCTCTAAACATTTAAGACGGGACATATAGACAAAAAGGCATGAGTGGATGTAATGATATGCACCTAAGCAATCATATCTTCTTGAATTTAATGTATAATAAAATAATTATAAGAATTGTTAGCCATTAAGGATAAGTATAAGTTACAAATATTGAATAGAATAAAATAAAACGATATTGAAATATCAATAATACAATATAATCGGTATCACAACACATCAGCCGTGGTGATGCGGGTAGCAGGCACCGACCGTATTTTTCGTCGAATAATTCGAAAAATATCCATTGTATAATTAACAATAATTGTTATTATTTATTAGTAGGGACCGGATTTATATGTAAAATTCAAAAATCACTTGATTAAAAAGTGAAGCAGTAGGTAGAAACTAATAATTATTATTTATTTTAATAAAAATCAACCAATACACAAACACAAGGCGATAAACACGAAATGTGTCGGAGTTCAAACAGCCGAAAACCGTTTTTTAAGAGTATCGTGATGAAATTATAACTCGTCAAACAAAGTAGTTTATTGATAACATTTTTATAAATAGAACAAAATTATTCTAACGATCATTATGATGAATAAAAGGTCAATTGAAGTAGACGACTGAATTTCTAAAATGTCATATATACAGCCAAATATATATTTGGATGTATACAATTTGGCCTAATATAATCACTGATAATATACCGTTGTCACAAAAAAACAGGGGCCACTTCACCACTCTTTACCCTGTAAATATTTTTCAATTTTGTTTGCGTGACATTAAACTAGGTTAATGGATCATAAATTCCTATGACTCAAAATTTTTTTAACTCATGCATCTTACGTATGCGCAACAAAACTTATATTTTTTTAAACGGCAACCCCTATTTTGAATATCATACTCGGATTCATCAATTTTTTTTAAGACATTTTGAAGTATAAACTTGTGTTTTAAACCTAAAATTGGCTTAATTATAGCTAAGTAGAATTAAAAAAAAATTTAATTTGCCTAATTAAATTTTTTTTAATTATTTAAATTTACTAATAATGGAATATTAAAAAAACAAAACAGTCATTATTGGTTGAATGAAAATCTTTCGCTGGGCTTTTTCTACAAGCTTCTAAACATGTTAGGGTACATTGGTATGGGTTGGTTTGATTGTATGGAAATTACTAGGGCCCCATTTCTATGACAAAACATTAACGGGAAGAAGATACTTAAATTTTTTGCGTGATGACTTGCAATTACTCCTTGATGATTTACCTAACCTATACGTAAAAACATCTATTATCAGCAATACGGGGCACCTGCTCATAATGCCCGAATTGTCCAAGGATTTTTAAGAATTAGATTTGGTGAAAAATTTATAGGAACACGTGGACCAGTAGTGTAGCCCCCAGAGTCACCTGATCTAACACCATTAAATTTTTTTTGTGGGGACACTTGACAACAAATTATAACATAATAAAAAACACTAATTTAAATATAATAATTTCCTTTTTTTTTTAATTTATAAATTATAATAAAACATACAATTTTATTATTTTTATTGTTTTATTTATTTTTTTTCATCATGTACATGTACATTATTTTTAAAATTAATTTAGTCTTTTAACTCATTTTGTGGTTTGGATTAACATAAATTGTAGGTAACAGGTACTAGGTACCAATATTGTTAAATAATACCCATAAGAGTTCATTAATAAAAGTTGCTATTTATACTGTTGGATTATCTGGGGGGGGGGGGCAAAATTATACCTTTATCTCTCAAAAAATTGTCAGGGGGGCACTTGTCCCCCTCACAATTACGCCACTGATTTACACAATAAGTCCTTAATTATAATATAAATTTCTTATATAAAGCAGTCAAATATTTTTTTTTCTTAGATTGTTTAGTATCTACATATATTCTATTACAGATTAATTATTTATTTATTCATTATACACAAACGTGTTGATACAAATTAGTATAAGTAGATAACAATAAAATATATTACATACAATATATTTATATAAAATAACTATATACATTTGATAATGAA